TGTTTTCATTTACTTCCTATAACATCAAGGACAATGAGTTTAGATACTGGTCACTTATAAACTGTTCCTGCTTGATTTCGTATATCAACTATTCTCGTTCTGCCGTCTTTAGCAGTATACAGTTTGATAACTAACCCCTTTTGCCAGGAATTTATCGGTCCACTGGGATCCACCATAATAACTACGTCACCAAGTTGAATTGGTTTACCCTCTTGGAACCATGTATTTTGTTCTTCTTATCAAGGTGGGTAAGTATTCATTTGTCCAACGAAACCAAAACATATCAGACAATCTTTGAGCTACACGCCAACTGGACAGCATATTTACGTCTCTGTCATTTGTTTTTTTTTTGCAAGGAAGAGCAACTGAAGAAGACCCAATAAGGAAATGATTGGGTGTTAAAGCTTTTAGGTCAGCTGGATCAAGCGATACCATGAACTAAGGGCCTGGAGTTTAAAATATTCTCACTTTCTGTCAAGAAGGTTCGTAAAACATGTTCATGAGGGTACTTCTCAATTAAAATTTGTCTCAGAATTTTTTTTATGCTGCTAGTGGTGCATTACATCTTTTAAGTGCACTCATTTTCATGATTTCTGACTGGTCTAACTTTTGAAATTCTAAAAATAGTTCTCTTTCGGCACCTTTGAAATGACTACCGTTGTCGCTATAGATTTCGTCAGGAAAACCACGTCGACATCCAAATTGCCTCAAAATATTAATGTATACATTAGAAGTTAAACCATGAGCTAGTTCTAAATGAACTGCCCGAGTTACCATACACGTAAATATCACCCTGTATCTGTTTTTGTGACTTCTTTTCACTGCCACTTCAATGGGTCCAAAATAGTCAATACCGGTTTTTATAAAAGGCCTTAATGTAGGTTCAATCCTACATTCCGGTAGTTGACCCTTTAAAGGCACAGCTGGCACAGCCTTACTGTTTTTACAGTATTGGCAATTCTTTAAATTTACTTAACTGCATTTACTGCAAAGATGGCGTGGCTGTATATAAGGAAAAAGTAGCATCTATCAAAAAATGGCCACAACCGACTAATAAACATCAAATAAGAAGTTTTCTTGGGCTATGTACGTACTATCGAATATTCATAAAGTAGTTTGCAGATATTGCTAAATCGCTAACGCGACTCACAGAAGAAGCGAAAGAATTCTGCTGGGACGAAGACTGCCAAACTTCCTTCGAAACTTTACAGAAGCATTTAACAACAGCGCCAATATGAGGCTACCCACTACTAGAGGGAGAATTTATTCTGAATACTGATGCCAGTAATGTGGGAATTGGAGGAGTGCTCTCACTGATTCAAGGGAGAAAAGAAAGAGTACTGGGTTATTTTAGTAAAGTGCTCTCGAAACCTGAGCAAAATTACTGCGTCACAAAAAGAGAACTCCTGGCAGTTGTGAAATGCGTGGAACACTTCTACCAATACCTATGTGGAAGAAAATTCTTAATCCGTACCGATCATGCCGCCCTTAAGTGGTTGATGCAGTTCAAAAACCCGGAGGGTCAAAGCGCCAGATGGATTAAACGACTTCAAGAATATGACTTTAAGATCGAACATAGAGCCAGAATAAGCTACAGAAATGCCGATTATCTTTCTAGAAGACCGTGTCTGGCAGAGTGCTCCCACTACAACAAAGTGGAATCTAAAGAAAGTGGACTACTAAGAACAACTGTAGTCAACGATGAGTGGGGGTCCTGCTAAAATTAGGGAAGAACAAGAGAACGTTACCGAAGGCAGAAATTTTGAAAGCCAACTCTTCCGTGGAGTCTGGGACAGACTAAACATGAAGAAAACCAGAACCACAGCATTGTACCCACAATCCGATGGAATGGTAGAACGAATAAATAAGACCATTGGCAAATATCTGTCAAAAGTAATTACAAACCATGAACGAGATTGGGATCAGTATCTTTCGCTCTTTGCAATGGCTTATAGATCCGCTGTCAATGAATCAACAGGCCAAACACCAGCAAAGGTCACGTTTGGGCGTGGGATGAGACTACCGTGCGACCTTGAGTTTGGATGCCGACCTGGAGAAGATGTAGATGGTGAGGATTACGTGATCCAGTTACGAAGAAGAATGTACGATATGCATGAATTGGTCCGCTCGCATCTTCAAATCGCCAGCGACAGAATACAGAAGCGATACGATAATTAAGCCACAGAAGGATGTTTCAAAGAAGACGACAAAGTCTGGCTCCATAACCCAAAAAGACAAAAGGGTTATTCTCCAAAGCTTCAAAGGTCTTGGGAAGGTCCGTATCTCATAAGAAAAAATCAATGATGTCATTTACCGTATAAGTAATATCCCGAACGGTAAACCAAAGTTAGTTCACCAAAACCGGCTGGTGCCATTTGAGGGTGACCATGAAGAGGAAGAAGAAGTATACCAGCTCCAAAAAACACCTGACCTTGTCTTTGCAGAATTTATGGATGCATATGGAGGTACCGGAAAAAAAAGATATGGTGTTATAACCGAGCAACAACAAGACCTGCTCACAGTTCTTAAAGATTACTCGCTGGTCCATAGCACTTCCGCCAACATCTACGACGCTCGAGGTCTGGCATCTGTATTCCGGAAGAAGTTTGGTGGATTGCCAGAACTTCAAGATCAGTTACCAGCCCCTGGAAAAGCATTGAAACTTCAAGATGGATCGCGTTATATTTTCCATTTGGTAACAAAGAACACCTTCCAAGATCGAACCACCTATCAGGATGTATGGGAGGCATAACTAAGTCTGAGGGAGCATGTGCTGGAGTCCAATTTACAGAAGCTAGCTATGCCAAAGATAGAGAGCAACAAGCTGAATTGGAGGATCATTAAAAACATGGTGGAAATAATCTTCCAAGATACCCAGGTTGAAATACTGGTCTGCAGCCATTCTCCCAGCGTTCAGGTTATAACGAAGACTGTCCCTTGTTACTTCCATGCAACTGGAAATTGTAAAAGAGGATCCAGTTGCAAATACAACCATTCAGTTTTAGTTCCAGGAGGAATTATTTCTTAAGGAGGGGGCAATATCACGGGAATTCCTAAGCCGTCTCTATCTAAGCAAGCGACCTGCAAGTCTGTGGCACCCGACTCATGCTCGAAATGACGGAATCTTCTAGGTACGCTCGAGAAACGGCTAGAATGGGCGGAGCGTGCCGTTGAGTCAGATATGGAATTTTCGGGAGCGTCTAGAGACTTCTCGTAGCAGAGTTGGACTTGACATAAATAACCCGACTTATCGGCGGACAGTTTAGTTTAGTAAAAAGTATTGAACTGAAAAGTTAAATTGTAATAAATAAATTAGAATTGTGAGTTAGTGCCTAAGTATTATATAAATTAATTAGTACGTCATAAATAAATTGTAAATAGTCTGTTTTAAATTAATAAACTATAAATAAATTAGACTACGAGAAGTCGCTGCTTTGTCTTTTTGTTGTATATTTTCTTCTTCTGATTCTATATCACTGTTAGTTTGCCATGGGAACATACGTTTTGGTGATTTATAAAATTTGAAATCGCACATCCCGAAGAAAACTTGTTAACACAAGGAACTAGTATTGATCATTCAAAAATATACAAAACTAGTTTTGTGCAATTCAAAATGTGTAAAACTAGTTCTGACTATTTTGTAACACTCAATCACCGCATAAAAATACAATTTCAGTTTTGGGAATTATTCGTTGCGTAAAATTAGTTTTGTGCATTTTTTTCGGGCGTTACCCGAGTTTATTTGTTCACTATCTTTCAATAATTAATTTTATATATTAAGAACCTTCAGTTCAACTTTTATATTTATATCACATTTCATACTTTATTTGTTCATTATCTTTCAATAATCAATTTTTATGCATTCAGAACCTTCAGTTCAAATTTAAATATTTTGTTATTTGCTCTCAGATCCTTAATTTCTTATGGGTTGGTAAATTATTTATTATTAACACTATATATTGAATTTTACTGTTTTAATTTGCCTGATATTAGTTTGAATTTGAACTGTCACAGTCCAGTTTTGTTTCCTATTTTGTTTTTCTCTAAATAAAAATATTTTTTAATATAGTTAAAACAGGTGTTCAAGTTCAGACATATCATCAAAAGTTCCAAAATAAGCAACTGAGAATTCACCCCTGAGTATAATTAATTTTACCATTTTCCTTTACAGAAAATTGTAAAATTCTGAATAAATAAATCTTGAGCTTAATCATTATAAATTTGTCTTGACAAACCAGACAGTTCCAAATAATTTCCCCGGCACACCTCGTGTCAGGTAAAGACAATGCATGTGCTCTAATATTTTTTATTGATACTCAACGAAAGTGCTGCAAAGAGATTAGAGCAGGACCAAACTGCTCAAAAATGGCTCGCACGCCTGTACCTATTTTGATACTTCATATTTACATCTAATAAATAAAAACTAACATTTAGGTTGCATTTTTATTTATTTATTTTTCATTACCAGTAAAATTATAATTTGTAGTTAATAATTTATCAAATATTTATTGTCCAATATACAATGTACCTAAGTTGGAACCATATGGAAAACTTTTTTATTATTGGTTTTGTGAACAAATTTTATTGATAAAAAGTTCTGCATGGTCCAAAACTTAAAATGCCATCATCAGATATTAATTTTTTAAGCCGTATAAGAGGTTCGTTAAAAAATATGAATTTTACTCAAGAGTAAAGTACCTTTATTTTTTACAATACAAAAGAATGTTATAAAATTATTTTGAATTAAAATTTAGATTTGGTGAATATTTAATTTATAACTACAAATAATGTATAATATAAAACGTAAATAATCACCTAAACTGAATTTTAATGCTAACTTTTAATTCAAAATAACTTTACTTTTTAACATTCTTCTGTATTGTAAAAAATAAAGGTACTTACTCGTGAGTAAAACTCATATTTTTTAACAAACCTCGTATACAGCTTAAAAAAATTAATATGTGATGGCATTTTAAGTTTAGGACCATGCAGAACTTTTTATCAAGAATAAAATTTTTCACAAAACCAATAATAAAGTTTTCCATATGGTTCCCACTTAAGTAGACACACTGTTTAATGTAAATAAAATCATCATAATCATGATGTAGTAAAAATGCAAATAAAATTTAAACACGATTATTTTCAGAATCCTATTGACGTCATAGTCATACATTACAATTTATACATATAAAAATTGATTTATACCTATTAATAGGTAGGTACCTACTCAACAAATAATCATGTTTATATTTTCATAGAATTTTAAAATTTATATTTTGCAGTTTCTTATTTTTCTCAATTTTTAAACAGCTTTAAACGAGAAATGGTTTTGTTATCACTTCTGTTACTTGTCTCTGATGCCATTTTCCTATACCAACTGCTGGTGTTGCAAGCGTTTCTCTCCCACAATATTTGATCTAAAATATCAAAATAATGCAAATTATTTGCTTGATAAAATAGGGTGATTTATTTAATTTGGTGGTAATAAGTTTCCAATGTGAATAAGATTTTCCATTACCTGAAACAATACTAATAACTTTAGATGATAATAATAAAACTTACTTGTTTTCCAATAAGGTTCTCGAAACGTGGTTTTATAAACATCCATGCCCCCATATTTTGAGGTTCCTCTTGACACCAAATTATTGCTGGAATACAAAATAAATGCATTAGAAATTTAAACACCAAAAAGTACCACAATCTATTTCAAATGTATCGAAAATTAATTAAATTATAAAATCAAATTATTATGTTATTTTTTAAGCTTTTTTTATGAATAAAAAAGTCATTACAAATAAGCTAGTTGAAAGATATTTTAAATTTACCCTTAACATTTGTATACTTCGAGATCTCCTCTCTCAATTCTAACGTAGGAAAGGGACAAAATGATTCAACTCTTATGATGGCAGTATCTGTAACTCCCAACGAACCCCTTTTATCCAATAAAGAATAAAAATGTTTACCAGATGTTAATAATATTTTTTTTACTTTAGAAGGAACCACCATAGAGTCGCCTAAAAATAAAAGTATTTGCAAATTTTTTCTAACGAAATAAATAATAATAAATTACCTAATACAGGCTTAAAAAATGTTCCAGGTCCCATTTCTACAAAGTCTGAAACACAAGACGCATTTCTAAGAAGAATTTTTGGAGTAGCTACTATCAAAGGTTTTCTAAAATTACGAACCATCTAAAAAAATCATAAAATATAATTAACTATCTGCTAAATCGCCTTTAGTATTAACTTACTTGTCGTCTTAATAAATGAAAATACTGAGCTGGCGTACTAGGCTGACAAATTTGCATGTTGATATCATCACCATCGACTGTATTTTCTTTAGAATCTGTCATTTGGAGAAATCTTTCTAACCTACAAGAACTATGTTCTGGGCCAGCTCCGTCATAGCCATGAGGTAAAAGCACTGTTAACCCACTTTGCCATAACCATTTCGCTAAAACATGTTTCAACTGAATTAAACTTTATAAATAGAGGAGAAAACTACAACTTTAGTTGAAACGCCATGCTAAATTAAATATGTTTTAAACTTACTTTCACCGGAACTTACAAATGTATCAAAAATTATTTGAGCACCATTAAAGAAGTCCCCAAATTGTGCTTCCCATATAATTAAATTTCTGGGATCCTCAACGCTCATTCCATATTCATATCCAAGTACAGCTTCTTCAGAAAGAATACTGTTTGCAACTTCTAAAAACGCTGATTGATTATCATGCATATTGTTCAAAGGAATATACATATTATTTGTTTTTTGATCGACTAACATTGCGTGTCTGTGAGAAAATGTTCCTCTTCCTACATCTTGGCCGCTTAATCTCACATTGAATCCTAAAAATTATTAAAATTCGTAGAGCCTTATTTTCATAAAGCATTTGGATATATCTTTCAACAAAAGAAATAGACACTCCAAAGGTAATTTACCAGACGCCAGGAAAAGTCCGGACATGTCCGGAATTTTGGCGTTTTGTCCAGAATGCGCCAAGAATCACTTATTGCTAGGAATTTTCAGGAAAAACATTAAACGGTATACTTAAAATACCGTACCTATAAATAGTCATTTTGGCCGTTAAAATTAATCAATATAACTTCCGAATCGTGCGATAAATATCTAATGCAAAATGCAAGTCCTTTCCTGCGATAAATACCCATTCGGAATGTGATACATTTTTTAATAAAACGTTAGTAATTATTTCATGAGTTGGAGTTTTCTTATTTTGTCCGGATTTTTAAAGAAATGTCAGGAATTTCAAGAATGGTATGCCAGGAAATTTCATTTTTGCTTAATATGTCAACCCTAATAATGTCAGCAACAGAGTAGTTTATAATATTTTGTTCAATTTAAAAATCTATTATCGTACCTTGGAATAGTAAAGATCCAAAAGCCAATGTTTCTGCAGTTGCCCAGTCAATGTTAGTACCTTCTGATATTTTACGATTACGATTTCTTACGTGACTTTTTATTAAAGTTGGATGAATTTCCTAAAAAAAAAATAATACTTTTCTTAACCTTAAACTGAACAATTACGTATACGACGGCGACCGTACAGAGCTGTTTACTTCTAAATTATACAGACCTAGAAGAATGTCACAGCTCCTACAATTATTTCCTACTCAATTCAATTAATATATCAATCATTGTGTATTAGTATTTTTATGCATTTATTAATAGTTGCTAAAAAATCACTGTGAAATGCCCCCTCGAGATTAAAATTCTTACAATCCCTTAGCTTTATATTAAAAAAATATATACTTGTTCAAAAATGACAGCAAGTAGTGGTTGAGTGGAGAAAAAATATTTATGGTTTACTAAATATTATATGCCAATATACCTATTGTTAAAAAATTATTTTTTTAACAGATAGTTCAGTTACTCTTTTTATGATCCACCTCGCATAACTATAATATAACTTTAAACTGTTTAGGACCGATTCCACCGTTGTGTTAAACGAAGTTTAAAATGACATTTTTACATTAACAACGTCATTTTAATCTCCGTTTAACACAACGGTGGAATCGGTCCTTAATAAACAATAATTCCAATAAAAAAAAAGTATTCAACACATATTTAGTATTCACAAAGTATAAACTAAGAATCTGTCGATTTGTAACAAAACAAAAAAATAGAAAAAACATTACGTTGCTTATTTTAGCTGTCTTACAGGTCATAATAGTCAATGTCTGTGTCACTATCCTCAACGGAATATTCAGGTACCGTGTCTTTAACATTATTGGATACAGGTAGATTGTGATAATAATGGTGAAATTCATCAGGTGTAGCATATGATTTGCAAAGTTTTAGTAAATCTTTTTTCTTGGCATTATTAACTTCTTGCACTTTTTTATAAGTATTCTCAGAGCTTTTTCTCACAAAACAACATGGGTACGAGCGTCAGCATCCCCGCTCGTTACAGCTTGACCAATCACTCGTTACGGTTTGACCAATCAATCATTTAACACGGAGATTCGGACATCACGTGTTAGCTAGATCGTGGAAAAAAAGGCTGACATAATCACCTTTTCGTTTTCGGATAATTCGAAAAAGACCAGAGACGGCTCTGGGAAAAACAAAACAAATGACTTGGGCAAAATATTAAAGTATTTCAACAAATAGTTCATTTGGAAGAAAAGAGTTACATCTCAAAAAACTTCAATTTGAGATTTTAACGAGAATCTATTTAAAATTATCTCATATTTTATGGGGAAGAAGGGAACAAGATTGATTTACAGCACCAGAGAGCAGACGTAACTCTCTAGTTTTTAGGCTTACCAAATTATTTAAATTTGCTCTTTTGTAAAATTATTGTTTTACAAATGAACGAAATATATTCAACAAAAATGTTCTGGCCTTTATTTGTTTTGGCAGAAACACTATTAGGAATCGGACTAAAAATATTTAGCAAAAATATTTTGTTTTAGTAGACACACTATTAGCAACTGAATACCTACAAGGTTTCTATGTAAATGCCACTCATCTTGGTAGTGCATATTGTAAATGTATTAATATGGAGTTAGTATTGTTAACTAACTGTAGTGCCGAAAGTAGAGCTATCTTGTTCTTGCTCTTGTAGTAACCCTATGATCCAAACGTTTATTTAAGAATTAGCGTGATATTTAGTGCATAAATATAAACATAAAAACAATGATATATTGTATTATTCAATATGTACATTGTATTACAGAATTTAAAAATCTCACACAAATCAAAGCCAACCTTGGCACACCAAGATTGGAGTTTAACGGATTTCAAGTTCCAAGTAAAACATTCTTTGAACACCTACTACAGCATATTTACTATTATTTACGCTCGCAGAATATAGTTTTCTCACTCATGGAAAATTTTGAGTAATTTAAATATAAGTGCCAACTCTCTCCCACTCGTAAATCTATCTCATTCGCTCTAATATGAATATAGTTAAAATAAATCCTTAAAAACAAATATGTATGTTTATTTAATTGTTTCAACATTCACTATATCTCCCTCCGCACTAATTTGGTTAACTCTCTTGCCACGTTCTCAATAACAAATCACAAAACCGTGTCCAAACAAATGATCCGTTTTCTAGACCAATCACAACAGTGTCACAAAAATGCTAGTCTTTTCACACGACACAACTCACGATCGGAGAGACACTTTCCAAACTCCAGTAGAGTAACCACATCTTGTTTTATTCTTTTACATACACGTCGCTTCTATTTGAAATAAAAGAGATGTTTCAAACCTATACGTTCGTTGTAAAATTTCATAAAAAAATATGTAAAATTGTTATGTGATGCAATGCAAAGTTTGAATAAACCATTTAGCAGAAGTAATTATTTTAATTTTAACATTCCAAAGCAAGTTAGCAAGTATTTCACTAAAATCACACATTTTACAAGTTTTTACAAATATACAGTTCAACTTGCCTCCCTGTAACAGGAAGGAACCCTTACGTGGGTGACGAAGATCAAAAAGGAAAAGAAATCAACGTCAACTCACGAGAATGCCAAAAAGGGAATTGTTACTGGCAATGCACATTCTACGTATTCTGGGCACGAGATTTAGTTATTTTGATACATTTACATTCCACTGTAACAAGTTATATTTCTAGGCCTTCCCTCCTTTTGCTGTTGTTAGTAAAGTTTCGACAAAATTATTAGTAATAAAGCTGCAGATGTAATAATTACCACATTGGCTTTTTAAATCATGATACCCACAATTCAACAATTCAAAAATATTTTAGTATCGACTCTTTTACATAAAGGACCCAGTGACAAATGAATCTTGTCAGCTTACAGAAAACTAAATTTCCTATACACAAGAAACTTATTTTGTTACAAGCCATTATAAAGACATCCTGTTTCCTAAGGAAAATATCAAATGTAGTAGTACATATTCTTATAGTTTCTTTAGCAGAAAGTACATTAAAAAATTACGATTATTGTTTTGCAAGATTGTGGATATTTTTTATAATTGGAAATGGGAATCAATAAACCTGCTTAAATATTATTTGATATCAAAGATGGTTGAAGAGATTTTTTATAATATTAGACTAGCTCAGTCGAAATATGACGAAACTTGGGATCCTCAACCAGTTCTATCAAAATTTGCAATAATAATCCCCATTTCTGTATCTGTAACATGTGGAGGGTGGGTGAACCTACGGCACTTATGCCTCACTAGGTCTATTGTGCATCCTTCTAAGTAGATAGGTACCTCCTAGCTCCTAAGCCAACCTACAGATTTAATGTAGTTGACAACGTAACCAAGAGGTGCTTCTCTTATATCAGAATACAAACCTTCTAATAAATGAAAGCGTCGAGCAATCGTAGAGGATATGCTCGATGGTCTCATCTGCTTGTCCGCACCCCCTACAGAGTGCGGATTCTGACAGCCCCATGATATGGAGATGCTTCCGTAGTTGGCAATGTCCAGTCAGAATACCTGTGATCAGGCGCAGCTTCTGTCTAGTCATAGTCAAGTATTTGTTCGCTGTAGTGTTGTCAAGATAACTTAAAAGCTCCCTGGCAAGTCTGCAGCTTCTTGTTTCATCCCATCTTGTCTTGAATTTCACAAGGGAATTATATTCAATAAGATTTGTCAGTAGTGATGTTGTCAATCCAATAGAAGGGCCAGGTCCAAAAAGTATTTGGTTGGCTGCTTTCTTGACAAGTGAATCAGCAAGACGGTTACCTTCCGATATGGCGTGACCTTTAATCCATCTTAAGTTGACCTCAATGTTGATGGATACCTCGGTCAAAGCTTCGTGACATTTTAGTACTAACCCTGAATAAATTTGTGGTCTGTCCAGGGTGAGTAGTGCTTGTCTATTATAGCTAAGGTTCAATGAAAGAGCTATTCCCAGATAAATCCGGTTAGAGAAAGTGGGCCCACAGAATAATTCATGTCATGACGACCCAGACAACGAAGCCAGAATCGCCAACCAGTACTTGCCAGCCAGTCCGTAGCAGCAGTCTCACAGTAGCAAATCCAGAGAGGCCGTTCAGAGCAGAGAGTCAACCAGAGGACCCAAGGCCGCAGTCTATTAGTAAATGGATAGACTATTACAACAGGACCGTGAAGCAGCCGAGGACCAAACGACTTCATGTGTAACCAATCTATGGAGGTCAAGGAACAGGGGATGATGCGAGGTGACCACCAGAGTGCAAAGGGTAGTTACGGCCAGAGAAGAAGAAGAAAACGCAACTTGTGCAGTGAAGCTAGCGTAAGGTTACCATATATATTGTAGATAATTTTTAAAATTTTTGTAAATTATTTACATTAAGGGTTTTAAAAAGAATTGAACAAGTATAGTTCAATTTTTTTTCTGTCGGGGGAATAATGTAATAATTGGCATTATTATTTTTAAAATACAAAGAATTTAACAAAAATCCCAAAAATATCTAATATTTTTAATACCTATTAAATTAACACAACATATTTATTAAAACCAAACAATTAGAAATAGTTCATTGCACTAGTAAATTTAAGGACAAATCGTGCAAATAATCATTAAAAATAAATAAGTCGTTTCTTGTAAAATAATCACGTTAAGGTTGATATAAATAGAGAGTCAATCGTTGACACAAAAAAGACTGAAGGGGCGGCCGTTGGGCCAAACCTATGCCCAAAAATGTAACTTAGTAATTATTAGTATTTATTATATATAGTAAAGTGTGTGTGTAGTGTTTTAGTTTCAAAGGTAATATCTATTTTATTTTAACATCTCTTGTTTGGGTTATGCATTTTAAAACAGTTCATTAGTCTTCTTCAAATGCCAATTCTTTCATTTTCGTCCCAAGTTTACTTATTAAATGTTTTTATCAGTTTTAAGGGTTTTATCATATAAAGAGTTTTTTTATATTAAAATGTTTTTGTGATGTAAAAGGTTTCTTTATATCAAAGTTTCATCATAGATTATATTATATTAGCATGGTTTATCATAATAAAGATTTACAATTGTGGGTAGTAATTTTTGCTATGTCTTATTTCAAAAATAGAGATTGTTTTGATTCATTGAAATTTGTTATTCATTTTTTACTTATATTTAAATATACGTGTTATTGTTTATTAACCTATTTTATTCTCACCTCTTTCCAAAAACCGGTAAGAAATATTCCGAGCATGTTAAGCCTCGGCGTTCCTACCCTTAAGGACTTGAGAGTCTTAAGTCAGTTGCCAAAACCGCTCGACATATGCTATTAAGGGATGTTTTTTTTTGTATTTTTATTATTTTCTTTTATTATTTTATTTTGCCACTGGCGAATGGATGTTCCTTCAGGACTCCAGGACCCTAGGGCTGGTGACAAGCACTGCCTTTATCCCTTAATAGTATAGTAACAGTAGCTAAAGACCTATCAGTAGTTGTAAATGGTCTTTAGGCTAACTGGTTGTTACACTATCTATATAGTTGATCATGTTTCTTCCAGTGATATTATTTCTGGTGATTTCTTTTGCTGCTATGAGAATTCCCGTGAGCTCAGTTTGAACTACACTGGCACTACTACTCGCTGCCCATTTTATGTTTTGGTTTAAGGATCTGGAGTACATTCCACATCCACATTACGAAACATAGTTTTGAACAACTAAGTAAACCTTAGTAGTATTAACTACAGGACAACGAATACAAACCATATCAAAATCTCAATTGACAACATAGTTATATCAAACGTAATATTGAAATAAAAGTTTCTGGTAAATTAAAAACTTCAGAATTAAATAAAGTGCAACCCTTCATTACTGTTAAAATTTATAATAGTATCTCTAGAAACACGAAATCTAATAAACAGCTATGGTTAATTTTTAAGAAACCTCATCACAATGTTATATCACAATCTAGCAGTGGATGGATAAAAACAACGCCAAAAGACAGTGGCATAGATATAAACAAATGTTTCGTCACATAGCTTACATGCCTCTACTTTTCGACTGCCTTTAGGGCAGTAGTCAATATCGACAGAATAAAAAAATCTGAGTTTCTTAGAAAAATAATAGAATAAACGACTCAAGTCAAACTAAATGTTTATTTTCTTTAAAATGATCGCTGAATATTCTCTCCAAACAGCCTACATGGTGATCAGTTTTACATGCAGTAGAATGAGTGAAAACAAATAATTACAAGATAGATTAACTTAAGTGTAAGGAAGATCAATCGAAATTTGTTGAACTTATCTTCCCGTACAATTGGGCGCCACCCGCCACATGTTACTTGCACCCCTAGCAATCATTTTTTGTGTCAATATCGGTGAAAACTTGGCGATAGGAATGTCTGATAAAAATTGTTTCATCTATTAACAAATGCCGAAAGGTATGACTAACGCGATATTACTAGTCCCTCATCTTCAAAAAGTGGCATGTCGTGTTCTTTGTTTGCTATTTGTAGTTGGGTACTGGGGAGGGCGGGGGGGTTAAACAACATGTACCATTCCCGGGAGTGCTAGTTGCTAATCGATGGATTTTATCGTTTTTGGATGGAAATGAAATAATATATTTCTAAACGTCTATGACAAGAAAAAATACCTTCAAGCACTTTCTGTCGTCTGGGTTTGCTACTTCCGGTGTAAGAATTTCGACCACGTAACAGCATATTTAACGCGTTTTTTTCTGAATCTAAGATGATATTACAACCTTTTTTTGTATGGCGAAAAATTGCATCCTTCGAAAAGGGTCTGTTCTTTTTGCAATAGGTGTATCTATATCTATCTGAATTAGGGTATGGTTTAAAGCCCACTCGTATTGAAGCTCTTGGCTTATTGTACCCCTCACAGTTTCTACCCCATCAGGTTAATATTCTTGATGAATTTAAGAATATGTCTGTTGAGCGTTTTCGCGATTTCTTCAGGTTCCGGGTATTGTACCCCGAAGTGCCATTCGCGTTCCCATTTAAGGTACGACAATGGCATAGTATGTGAATAGGAGTTTCGTCTTCCTCCTCTTCACATATTCTGCAAAGGAAGTCCTCAGATATCCCTAAAAGATGTAGGTGTCTTCTAAGGCCGCAGTGTCCCGTAGAGAGTCATGATACGGCAGTTAGTTCGCTACTGCTAAGGTTTAGCAGTTGATTTTGTCTATTTTTGGATGAGCCCTCTACGAATATTTTGGACTGACTAAGTCCAGGAAGTTCCAACCAGAGCCTATGGTGTTCTCTATTTATCTGTTCCGTTAGCACTCATTTAACATGTTCATATGAAATACCATATATGGGTTCTGGTCTAATTAGAGTTTTCTCATCCCCCTTACTGGCTAGGAGGTACGCCTTCTCGTTTCCCAACACTCTCTCATGTCACGGTACCCATTCAAGAGTGACTTTGTTATGTTCTGTAAAGGCCTGCAGGGACTGTTGGTAATCAAATGTTAATTTAGATTGTACTTCTAGCCTTTTCAGTGCTTTAAGGGCTGCCTGACTGTCTGTCATAATAAAGACCCTGTTATCTCTAAAAGAGTCATTTAGCATAACTTTGGCATATACATTTATTGCTGTTACTTCAGCATGGAAGACTCTTGTCAGTGACCCCTGGTTCTGACTAAAGATCCTCCCTGAGTTCACATAGTCCTGTGCTGTTTTTCATTTTCGAACCGTCTGTATACCAGATTGATTCGTTTTGTATTTCCCTATTTTTCCCGGCTTTTGGCACTTTCTGGTATTTGGATGTCGAAAGGTTTCCTAAAGTAATGAATAATAGGTGTTCTAACCGATAGCATTCTTGACACCGAATTTTGTTTTAATTTCTCTAATATCATTGTTTTCTCGCCATAGCCTTCTTTTCCACCACAAGGTGTATAGAGAAAGACCTAACAGTAGCTCCATTGCTGCAGTGGGTGTAGTTCTAAATGCCTCTGTTATTATTAGACAAGCCAGTCTTTGTACCTTATCTAATTTTCTGTTAACTTTTAGCCTTGTGTCACCATATGACTGATAAGTTATATCAGGTATTACAACCATGGTATAAAGCCACCCAGACAGCATACCAAATCCTTTGGATATCTACTGAACATCCCAATATCCACTGAATGTCCAGTCCATGGTAGATATCTATTTTATATCAATGAAATGTAATTTATAGACATGCAAATGTCCATAAATAATAGTAATTATATAGCAAATTATTAAAAAATTACGCCATTGTGCTCGCCATTGTGGCTAATAGTACCGTTCAGATATTTAAAATTAATTTTTTAAGGTGTATTCAATATCCCATGAACATCCACTAAATATATCAAAGTCTAGGCGCGAACGCAAACCATCGTGGATATCCACTAGATGTTATTTGATTCTGCTTACTAAGTATAGATGGCGATACCACTATCGCATCTACTCATGCTCGACCCGCCGTAATTGAGTTCGATCGAAATGTGTGTCCTAATCACCCCATTAGAGACTGGAGTCGAGAATTTTCATTTATTGCTGAAGAGTCCTAAGAAGGATGACTTTCTCCTTAGTGGGCAAAATCAAAGGCAGTGTTGAAAATATTTTGAGTATTGAAAATATTTTTTATCTCTGCTATTTTCTTTCGACGTTATTCAATAATCATTGGTTACTTATGAACCTCTACTAAAGATACCCATAAAATAGTTTGCTGAATATCAGAATATCTTCTATATCCTGTGATATAGACGGACATTTGGTTGGATATCCATATTGGATATATTGAATATCCACAAAATATATTCTGTGGATATCTCTGTGATTTCTTGTATTTTCTAGAAGATACTCATTAGATATTTTGCTGAATATCCATTAGGATATCTTCTATATCCTGGATATAGACGGACATTTGGATATCCATATTAGATCCACGGAATATTTCTGATATCCTGTGGATATATTGGATATCCACAAAAGATATTCTGCGGATATCTCTGGGATTTGGTGTGTTGTCTGGGCAGTGCATCCTAATTGGTTTAAGCCCCAATGTGTTCTCTACCACCTACCTACAGGTCCATAGTATTCTTATAGATTTTTTGTTGTTTTTTCTATATGGCTGCAGAAGCGAAGGAAGATATGAGTTCGACAAATTTAGATTCAGGTAAGTCAATCAATCTTATAATTAGGTACATAAGCTTGAAGATCGAAGAATTTAAATGTTCTAAATTGACTGTCTATACTTGCATCATCTGCTAGAACAAGCCTAATGGACAGTAAATATTTAAGAGTAATTTAAAATACTTACAAAATTTTCTGGAACTCGCACCGATTTTGTACCAATAAATGTCATCATGTCTGTATCTATCCCAGTATCCCAAGTAGTAATAACATCACCAGGTTGACTATATCCTTCCCATTGTTTTTTAAAATAAATATCCTTGAAATAAATTAAAAAGGATACACTAAAAAATTATTTTCATAGTAGGTAATAATAATGATAAATTGTATGAAAAGTATAAAGATGCAACCAATGTCTTAAAAATTAAAAAATCTCTAACTATTAGAGCCAAAGATATCATGGCCGCCAATATAGGATCAATAAATGCAATAAAAATTATACGTTACCGGAGGATTATAATTTTCTGCGGCGTTTAGTTCATCATTCAAATATTTTTCATACGCCTCAACTATCTCTCTGCGGTTGTCTTCTGTTAAAACACTTTCGTTGATAAGTTTTTTAACGTATGTATCAGGTATAGTCCTAAAACACGACACGAATAAATAAATATTTAAATTATTTTTTTGTTTTTTTAATGATTTAAAATACTTACTCCCTTGATCTTATAATATCGTACAGTACTGGGTTGGTGAAACTTGGATCATCTAGTTCATTATGACCCCATTGCCTATAGCAATTAATGTCGACAAAAATGTCTTTTCTAAATTTTCGTTGGTACTCGAAAGCCAATCTAGTAACCTTTAGGACATCCTAAAAAAATCATTTATCTGTTAGGAAGGATCATTTAGACATTTTTTACATATATACAAAAGTGTACCACAATAATTAAAAACCAAGGAGAAATGTTATAACACCAGTTTCCATCATAATATATACTAGGAATACAGAATATAAAATAATTCAAATTACCTCAGGATAATCTCCATTAACATGTATCACTGGTGCTGAAATTATTTTAGCTAGGTCTGTGCAATAACGAGATGATCTACCTCTTTCAGCAGGAGTAGTAAATCCTACTTGATTATTGACCACTAGATGAACAGAACCTCCTATTTCAAAATGTGGCACACTAGTTAAACTCAAACATTCCTGGTTAATGCCTTGGCCAATGATAGCTGCATCACCATGAACCTAATAAATATTTTATATTTAATTAACAATTTGGCTGCCACAACATAAAATCATTGTATGTATATTTATCATGTCCGCTTAATTTTAGTGAACTCACAAACTTCCATACAACTTGCCCCGAGGAGCAAACTGCCGGCCCAAATCTATTTTTCTTTTATTATCCGATTTCCGCAAGTATTTAAAGTTATCTTTGTTCAATTCCTAACCAATTCATCTGCAACCCCTGAGAAATTTCTCAGCATTTCCCGTAATTCCCTGCGAATTATTTGACAATTCCCGTAATTCCCGGCAATCGCCTATCGATTCCCACAATTCCTCTCAATTCCTCACAATTCCTCTCAATTCCTCACAATTCCCTAACCTTGTTCACCTAATTCTCTCTGCAGTTTTTCTCTAGTATTTTATGTCACTATTATCTTCGTAAAACACCATGTTAATGATTACCTGTATATTCAATATTTTATCAGACCAACTTTGGTTTCCATAATCTCCATCTTTGGACATCATCTGTTTTGCTCTTGTTTTTCCCATTGATACAGGATTTACTGCTTCTAAATGTGACGGATTATATAGTAAAGATATATGTACAGAACGATCATCATAAGTAAGATCCGTAGAAGCAACTAAAATAAAACTTAAATTATTAACTTTATATAAACATTATTACAGTCAGTGTCGGAATGGGCCGTCGGTCCAAAAGACCATTGGGTCCTCGTTCAAGCAGTGGGCCCTCGTTCAAGCAGTGGGCTCTCGTTCAGGCAGTGGGCGCTCGCAAATAAAATAGAAGAAATCCCCTAATACGTGAGAGGACTTTTTTTTGCTTTTTAATATGAGAGGACCTTTTTTTTGCTATTAAATAAACAACATCGGACCATAAAAAGGTGGAACCCTTCTACCTCCTGACTGGTAAGCCCTGGAGGTCCCAATCCGACACTGATTAGAGTGTATTTGCGAGTTTTACTAAAAATAGTACTTACTAAAGTGACTAATAACATCTCCGCTTGACTTATAATGCGAGGGAAAATCTGGATTTCCTTTGAGTTTACTAAATAATTTTGAAGGTGGAAAATTCAACAATCCTGTTAGCAAATTCAATCGTCCTCTATGCGGCGTTGCAAGTACAATTTGCTCAATGTTCTCTAACAATAAAATTATTTTTGATACATAAAATATGATCGATTTTAATTAAATTAATTAAGTAGGTAATTAAGTACAAAATCAGATATTGATGAAGGTAGGGGCCATGTTCATAGTTCTTTTCTCTTTATCTCTGTTAAAATACGAAAATCTGATCATATTTTGCGTAAATTCTCAACAACGTCACGGAAAGCGGGAACAGCAAATCCAGCATAGTATACAAACTAAAAACATTCAACCACACAATCAAGCGAAAAAGTGACTAACAGACATAAAAAAAATAGTACTATCATTTGTCTTCCTTTTGACACACGCACTGCCAGTAAAAAATAATTTCAAAAGCTTCTATTTTCAAAGTCAATCTAACTGACGCCAATAATATTTAAAATCGAGCTCCTCTACGCCATGCCGGTAATCGAGAGCATAAATAGAAGCGAGGTGAGAACCTAGTAGGCGTTACTTGTCTCAACTCTCACCTAGACACATCAAGCATCTTTTGTTTCATCGAGCATACATTGTTTACTACACAAAAGCCGGAATTTTATTTTTAAATTTTCTACACAAACCACAATCAAATCTTTTAAGAGTAAACCGTACCTCTGGCGAAAACAAAACTGTTGTGAGGATTTCCTAATATAAAATTGTATTTATATGCGCGCTACTGGGAATACTTCGCGATGTTATGTGTCTCCAGAATATTAAGAGATTTAAATTTGTGCAACGATAAGGCAGCACTCTACAGAGACATTTAAGGGAAAAAAAGGTGGGAAATCCTCTCATTTAAAAACTACTAAATATTTATTGTAACAAAAAGCAGCAAATTTATATAGATTTAAAATAGAATGGCGCGTAAATATCTTTTTTAAAATCCCTTTTCAAATTAGAAGGAATTAGAAAATTTTAAGGTGTTCGGTTTGCTTTTGAAAAGAAAAATAAGAATAATTGTAAAAATTAGTGAAGTAATTAAAACCAGTTATGTACTTATCATAAGTGTTCAGAATAAAGTTAATGTTTTTATTGTTTTGGAATCTGCATCTTTACAAACTCCACTGGCCTTTTATGAGGAATAGAAAAACATTAGTACAAGGTTAGTCTTACAATAATTTAAATATGGTTCATCTGTTATATCAACTATACAGGGTACAGGGTGAGATCAATCTTAAATGTACATATGTATATCTATCTCATTCTTTCCTGAAACTTTCTACTTTCGCAGATCCAAGAATATAGATATCCTAGACAAAAAAGGTAGTTAAACTGGAAATATAAATTTCATTTTATTAATTTATCATGTAAAAGAAAAGGAGCGGGTGGAAAAGGCTAACGCATAAAATAAGTAATAAATTTTACCTCCTGCAGATAATTTAAATACTTCATTAAAAAATACCATCATACTTTCACATCCTTCACCTCCGTATCTTTTTAAACTAGTGAATTTTTTTGCTAAAAATTGATCAAAACATTGTGACTTTAGTAAATCCGTTGCAATATTTGTTTTTATTGCATTACTAAAATTTGTTTCAGGTAATTTTTCAATTTGTTGGTTCATCCATTCAATCTCTTCTTCATTCTAATAAATAAAGGATTACTCAGTATATTTTAATCTCAGATATTACAAAATAATTTTCATGATAACTTACTTCCAAATGTAGATATTCAGCTCCAAGATAACTACAATAAACATTGTTTAAAAACTTAATTGCATCTTCAATACTTCCTTGTTTTTGACCAGAACTAATGATGCCGTCAAATTGAACGTTATCATTTTCTTTGAAACCATATCTGTTAATTTCTAATTCCGGTATGAGGCTAAAATAAATTTATTTTTTATGACAATAAACAGTAGCAGCAAATCATAAAATCTTCATGTATAATGTATGTTTAATTTTGCGGTGTGGTAAACCTCAACCCCATTGTATATGCTGCTGATTGAGAGTCCAAATATACTACCAGCTTTTTCATGTATATGAGAATGATTTATTATTCACTTCAACATCGGAACTACTAGGTATCCTTCATTTGTTTAAATTATTTAGCCTGTTGATAGCCCATGGTGGCCGAAACCATCATTTAAACTTATTCTGTGATAACTGACTTACAGTTTCCCTTCCTTGTATTTGATATTTTTTAAAAATAGTTAGTTCCCTGTTATATGCACCATGCAGTTTTCTATCCTTAGTAAGTATAGTACCCTCTCAGATATATATTAACTAATATGTACATAAATTACTTACCTGTGGCTTGTAGCTAACGTCACAGGGTTAATTTTTGAACACTTGTGGCCATGTTGTCTATAAGCTGTGACTAAACGAAAGAAGTTACTTTCTCTACATTTGGCATCGATCACGTCCTGCGCTTCTGAAAAACAAAGTGAATCATATTTGAAACATTTAACAAAAATGTGTGAATTGTTCTATAGAACTTATTTGTTATGGCTGGACTCGAAAATGTATGCGAAAAAAAATTATACATTTCTATTGTATTACATTCATGATTACCCAGATAGCACACGACGTCCACTGGACGTCCATATTTTGTCCAAATAATGTCCTGGATGTCAATGAACTTCATATGGATATTCATTGGACATCCGTTTTCCGTTATCCAATGGATATACCCATTCAGAAGTCCAATGGATGTCCAAAAAATGTCCATGATGGACACTATAAAAATGACTAACTAAGACTCAATATTCATATAAAATGTAATGTCTTTTTTTAGCTGCTGCTGAGAGTGACAATGGAGCTGCTTAAAAGTAAGCGAAATAGCCTTAAGAAAATGGCTGAGAAGGTCAACAGGATGGAGTGCGTATAAAATCAATACATGCTTGATATTATTTATGACAATAAAAATAAGTCAATAGTTGCAATTATTTTATTTCATATTAATATAGGTAGTGATGTCCGTCAGATGTCCATAAATTGTCCAAAAGCAATACAAAAAGAGTCCATATATGGACCTTTCATTGAGTCCAAATGGACGTCCAGGAGTGGGACATTTGTATAGTCCAGTGGATGTCCTTCGGTAAAATGCTGGACGTCGACGTCCTTTGGACAGCCGATATGTCCATGAATGGACTTCCGATGGACATCCAATGGATTGACTTGTGCTGTCTGGGTACACTCATCCAATATACATTCACTCCTAGAGACGTCTCTGTGATCTGCACTTTCTTGGTCGATAAGAAAATTCTCCGACAAATAGATACATCACAAGCCTCGCCCGCTCCTCGTTGGTCAACGCCAAGCGTCAGCCTCAAGCTGGTTTAACAGCTTGTCTCCTTCTTCGCGCCGCTGCTACTAAAACAGTCATCGAGACCACACGCATTTGCCTCGATAAGAACGAACGCTCTGTCCGCCATTATGTAATAAATTATTTCTTAAGTATCATGACTTAAAGTAAGAAATTTGCTGGATAAATGCTGTAAATAATGTAAAAAGTGGTTTATTCATGAGTAAATCATGCATAGTGTTAAATCAAATCATTCCATTCGTGTTTTAAAATAAAAGTGTTCAATCAGAGGTAATTTTTTAATTAAAGTATCTAGATCTCCGAGATCTATGGATCACACAGGTATTTCAAACTTTCTTATTTCTACAGTTCATGAACAGTCAAGGGCCAAATATCGGTCCTATCTTATATATGGCGGGAGAACACCGATAGAAGCCTGAATATATCGGTCAAACCGTTTTCAGTTGCAATTTTGAAATATAGTATTAAACATAATGAAGATATGAGTAGATTGATTTTTAATAAACATTTTCATTTTATTTCCTAATCTACCCTAAAGTAATAAGCCACGGACGGACGGACAGACAGAGATACAAGTCATGTCATGCCCGTTGTTATATTAGAGCTTCCACCTTCGCTTGACTCTCTAATAAACGTAGATGTTATACACTCTTAGAGTTGATTAGAGTGTGCCGGCTTCTTTCTTCTACTAGATACTCTCAAGAAAGAATCGAACATCACTTATATGTGAACATTTTCTTTATTTATTCCTATTTAAGCCAAAACCTGAGCCGAAAATGTAATGATGCAATGAAGTTGATGGCCACATATCGAACAACAATAATTGTTGTTTACGATGAGGGTTTCGTCCCCGGTAAATATCATCAGCTAAGGCCTGGTGAACTGTATTGATTACCTTGAAATACACCTTATCCTGGAAAATAAAACGCTGATCGTTATATTACCGGTATTATGGATTACAGCCAAATACTGACACAATGTTAAATAGGGCCTATCTTGGCTTTAGAGCTTTAAGTGGACTGTAATTTAATTAAATACCTGTTGATTTACTGTGAGGTACTATGGTTTCTCTTGAAAGTATGGCTGTATTCAAATTCACCCATTGCTGAACACTGTTTTATTAATGAATTTTTAAATAGTTCACAAATAACATTAACAACTATTTACGTTTCATTTGCTTAGAAAACTACTCAAACTTCCTTTGAATTCAATTATGTTTTGTTAAAATGCCGAAAGCATTATTTTTATTTATGTTACTTTATATATAATAAAAATATTGTTTGAGGTATGTGGTATGTGTATAAGGTATGTGGTAAAAAACCAAAAAATAAGCGATATAATTGCACAATGACATAATGTGAAAAGCTTTTAAACAAGTTAACTAAATAAGATGTACCCAGACAGCACAAATAGGTCAATTGGACGTTCATTCGATATACAATTTTGGATGTCTGAACGTGCAAAAATTACTTTTTTTTGGACTTCAAGTGAAGTATACAAATGGCACACTTTTGACCATACAGAAGACGTCCAATTCTGGATTATATTTTTACTTTGAATATTGGATACTCAAAAAACGTCCATTCCTGGATTATATTCAACTGAGATCACATCCCCACCTTTTTTTTACACTATTTTATATTATTAATAATTTATTTGTTATTTTCGCAAACTGCTATACACCATTTCTTTTTTTTTTTTAATTAAAAATCGCTTTACCGGAGCAGGACTCGAACTCACGACACGTCCATTATCGTTCTACGCTTTCAACCGTTAAACGATCTCGACCAAGGAGCCTCTTGAAAACTTTTTACAAGATATGGTTATAATATAATAAGATTTCAAACTTCCGCTGATAGAATGAAATACAATAGATTTAATTTGTCAATTTTTATTGGCCAGTTATAAATAAATACAAAAAAGAAAGTGAATATAGAAGGGTATTATCTGGTAGGCTAAATAAATAATGTCCTAACATGGAAATCCACTGGACGTCAAAATACTACTAAACTTAAAATTAAGTCGATATGCAGCTGTTAAATTAATGATCGTAAATGGACGTACACTGGACGTCCGAATACGGATATGGACGTTCTGACCCTCAAATGGATCTAAAGTGGACGTCCATTGGATTATGTGTGCTGGCTAGGTAGTTATATGTGATCTGTTGTATTATGTTAAAAATATAAATAATTTGTGATAATAAAAATGTGTTCAGTTCTATGTGAATTTGAATTCAATCACATACAAAAAGCACTAGTTACACAGTCAGCATCTCATAAATAGAATTCATCATCAGGTATCTTCTATCTTCAGTGGTATACAGTCCACTTGGAATTTGACCAGATAGGTCGTATATGTAACGATGTGTTATATTTGGCAGCAATCTACAATACCAGAAATTGAAAAGTTGAGTTTGATTAAGGTACAACCTTGGGAGTCATCATTGCCCTTCATAGAAGTTGTAACTCAGATACAAACATATTACATTCCATCCAGTAGCAGAGCGAGGGGAGTTTTAGGGGTTAAACCCCCCCCAGACGTGAACCTAGACGATTTTGAAATTGAAAAAGTTAATCTGGGTAAAAAATATTATATTTTTTTAATACTCCCAATTTTTTTCAAAACTCCCCTGATACAAAATTCTGGCTGCGCCACTGACTCCACCAGTTAATAAACTTTATTATATTATGAATTAAACCTGAAGACAACAAAGCTGAAATAACTCATATACCAACCTTATTTGTCAAACATTTAAATAAAACTTAAAAAATTTAACGAAGGTGGTAAAGATGTGTCATCTTTTTAATGATGAAATACAACTTATTTCAAATGATCATTAGCCCCTTAATACATACTGTGTCCATACAGAGTGGCCCATTTAAAAGCGGGCCACTCATAAATTTTTTATTTATATAGAGCAATTTTGACGAATTCTTTTTTAAAATGTGGGGGGGAAAAAGTGTATTTTGGAGCCAAGCGGCGTTCAGTTTTTTTTTTAAACCAAGACCTACTAGATCACATTTAGAGGCTGAACAATCCAGAATGCATATTAGCGATTTTTTTAGAAGAAATTCGCATACGCCAAAAATCGGAGTTCTCTGAAATATATCTGTACCAAGTTTCATGAAAAAAGACTCAACATTAGTGATTCTATGAATACATTACTGACAAGTTGTTTATTATGCATTAAGAAGCTTTTTATATAGTAACCCATGCGATAACAAAAATTAATAAATAGGCCTTGGTTTAAAAAAAAAACTTGAAGGCCGCTTGGCTCCAAAATACACCTGTCCCCCTCAACATTTCAAAAAAAAATTCGTCAAAATCATCGCTCTATAAATAAAAAATGTATGAGGGTGGCCCGCTTTCAAATGGGTCACTCTGTACATATACTGATTTTTAACCGCCAACTCAATATATTCCAAATAAGGTACACTCGCTTCTCTTCGTTTGAGAAAGATTGTCAATTGTCATCCGCTAGCTCTTATTTTGTAATTTATGTAGTTTTTTGCTCAGTTGACAGCACCTATAACACCTATAAGGACGTATTACCGGACGTATTGTTTACAATGTTTTAGTTGCCATAAAAAATCGAACAAATAAAATTTACTAAAACTAAAAATATCTAGTTCACATACTTCGATGTATGTGGTATAGTTGTTTTGTAAAAAAAAATGTATTAGAACTATATGCCTATCCGATACATGTCATTTGTTTCCTTGTGCCATTTCGGCACAATTTGAAGTCAGTGACGGCTCGTATTTGACTCTTTTATTGTTAATATCTCTAGAAGGAGTTAAGTAAAATTACTGGTTAAGAATATGGAAATTCTAATTAGCAGATGACTCCTGCTACTTCGCAGGAAGACCGGCGCCCCAGCGCCCTCTCTTACCAGCCGCCACTGTTTGAAGTAAAGACAGTAAAGACAACTCTAGCTAATATAAGCCTCACGATTTTATGTTCTCAAAACCGTTGATATTCCAGAATTATGTGGCAGTGAAGGTGAATAGTTGCCCGATGAAGATTAGGATTATCGAAATATAACCTTTTTATGACCTTTTTATTGACGAAACTGATCATTATGATAGTGAAGACGACGGTCCCCAGTCTACCATAGTTACAGCAAATAAGACAAAGAAAAATATAAGGTTCACATTGATTGGGAAGAAAAGTATTTGAGAGTCCTTGACGAAGACAGTTTATATAAGAGGTCCGAGTCCTAATGAGTTGATTCAACAACAAAAAACTGTTATACTATTGCTGCGTTTGAATATCCACATCGGATGCATCTGAGATGTTGTGAATTTTTTATCACGTGATAGAGGATTAGATTTAAATATAGATTTAAGCGGCGTTTTCCTAACAACGCACATTTTACGCAGCGTAGAACGTAATACGGCCGACGCAACGCAACATCCAACGCGTTGCGTAAAAGTGTTTTCCTAGGATTGTCAGTTGCGTCCTGATCATCGCGATGAGTGGGTCAAATAATTGTATAAAGAAATTTGCTTTGGCATTTTTAATACTGCAAGATGAAATTTTGCAAGAAGAAATTGACATTATAACCACATTTTGTCCATTTCATTCCAGATTGTGTCCATTTTCACTACATTTATAAATTCCTTCAGTTTCATACCCCAAAGAATAGGATAACCACTAACGACTTCAATTAATTGTTTATCTTCAGTAGCACTAAAACGAATTTGTTGTTTTTTTAAAGTCATTTTGTTGCAAATTAGGAGCACATTCCTTTTAAAACGCACTAAAACGCAGCGTACGACTGAATAGACTTCTCTCCGAGCAGTCGTCCCGTTGCGTCGACCGTATTACGCGACGCAAGTCGTTTTTGCGCCCTGTAGGAAAACGACTCCATTTGATTTTCATTAGACATGTCCTCAGCGTTTTACGCCGACCGAATTACGTTCTACGCCGCGTAAAATGTGCGTTGCTAGGAAAACCCCGCTATAATAAACAAACGCTCTAGACTTTATTGGTCACGTGATAAAATGACAAGTTAGAAATTTATACTTTTTACTTTCCTATCTGTTTACAGATATAAGGAAAGTATAGGAATCATGATTTTTTTCGACCTCGAGTTTTCGACGGATTTTTACGTTTTGAGGTCCCCTGAATCCGTTTTGACTATTTTCGCGATGATGTCTGTGTGTGTGTGTGTGTGTGTGTGTGTGTGTGTGTGTGTGTGTGTGTGTGTGTGTGTGTGTGTGTGTGTGTGTGTGTGTGTGTGTGTGTGTGTGTGTGTGTGTGTGTGTGTGTGTGTGTGTGTGTGTGTGTGTGTGTGTGTGTGTGTGTGTGTGTGTGTGTGTGTGTGTGTGTGTGTGTGTGTGTGTGTGTGTGTGTGTGTGTGTGTGTGTGTGTGTGTGTGTGTGTGTGTGTGTGTGTGTGTGTGTGTGTGTGTGTGTGTGTGTGTGTGTGTGTGTGTGTGTGTGTGTGTGTGTGTGTGTGTGTGTGTGTGTGTGTGTGTGTGTGTGTGTGTGTGTGTGTGTGTGTGTGTGTGTGTGTGTGTGTGTGTGTGTGTGTGTGTGTGTGTGTGTGTGTGTGTGTGTGTGTGTGTGTGTGTGTGTGTGTGTGTGTGTGTATGTGTGTGTGTGTGTGTGTGTGTGTGTGTGTGTGTGTGTGTGTATGTGTGTGTGTGTGTGTGTGTGTGTGTGTGTGTGTGTGTGTGTGTATGTGTGTGTGTGTGTGTGTGTGTGTGTGTGTGTGTGTATGTGTGTATGTGTGTGTGTGTGTGTGTGTGTGTGTGTGTGTGTGTGTGTGTGTGTGTGTGTGTGTGTGTGTGTGTGTGTGTGTGTGTGTATAACGCATAACTCATGAACCGATACACGGAAAAACACCAAATTTCAAACTTAAGCTTTGTTCCAGCGTCTAATGAGCTGATTAGATTTTGGGCAGAGTCGGAACATCTGGGGGGGTACTTTATAGGTGGTCATTTTTATATTTTATGGAATATATCTGTTATTTACGTTTGGGGAAGAAAATTCTTCAAATGAAAGTTACTTCTTATTTTATTATCTATAATTTTTGTTATATACAAAATTTTCTAATTCTCTATAATTTTTATCCTATAGATAATTTCTCTAAAATGGACCGTATTCGAGATATTTGAGAAAATGTGTAAATTTCGAAATTTGAAGAAAACTCAAAAACGGATAAAGAAAAAAACATTAAATTTTGAACTTAAGTTTTATTTCGGCCTGACGTGAAATGATTAGATTTTGGACAAAGTCGGAACATCTGGGGGGGTACTTTATGGTATGTTATTTACGTTTATGAGCTTGACACAAACTGAAGCAATGAAAAGAAGTTATTTTGGCCCAATGCACGTAAAGGCCCATATTATTTCGAGTTTCGTCTGCGAAAGATTAAAAAAAATATGAACTTGCCCTTGAATAATCGGCCTCGGTCCTGATTATGTTACGTTCATGATATGAAAATGCGATAGTGATTTCTTTATAAATGGTTACGCAACAAACTTTTCAAGTAATATAAAAATAGTAACTACTGTTCAGTCCAAGTGAATGGTAAGAGTTGAAGTAACTGATAAAAATGTAATACCTTCATTAAATGTTTATTAATTTCAAATTTGATTTAATAAGCCTTTGTTTATAAATAGCAGGTCATATAAATTAAAATTATCCATATTATAGTTTTTTCGAATTTAACTGTTAGATATTTGGAACGGCAGTCACAATCAAATACAATAAAATGTATTTAATATTTTTCTAAAACTGTTGAATTATCATTATCCATTGAATAAAAGCATTTGACCTATTTATAATTATACTAAGTAATTAAATAAATCTAATACAACCATTAAAGTACTTACATCATAGGTACCTTTTTCTTTATGCATACCTTTATATACTTTTTTCTCTTTCCTCTTGAACCCAAAAACATTTTCACTGTGATATTTTCGATTAAAATTAAAACTAATGTTATTAAAAAAATTAACTCTAAAACTACACAACTTATAACAATTTACATACATTTTTTGATCAAATAGGTTATGATGAGATAAATATCAAATTCTTTATTTCAATAACAAACTATATTTTTTGATAACATGACCTCTTACGTGCAGCCAATTTGAATTGAATAAACCAGTTATCTATATAAAATAATGCCTATTGCGAGATGTTTTAAGTTCTTACATTAAATTTTAATATTTTAACAAACAAATGGAAAACAGTGCCGGAGATTATGTTAGCAGGGTCTTAAATGTTTTTTATTAGGTAAATTTAAAACAAAATTATTCCTCTTATTTATTTTTCAACATCGGTCTATTTCTAACATTTAACCAATGGTTTTACGTCTCATCCAAAAGATGGCGTGCCCAAACTAAATATCAGCAACCAAGCCACATTTGTTGAACTTTTACAGGCGGAGTTTCCCCAGTAGTAGTCCCTCCAAATAATATTTTTCGAAAACAAGAAACATTTACAGATTTAGAGGACAGCCAGGGAAAACTCAACATTAAACCAGACCACATGAGTATCACGAGGTTAGTGGAAGAGAACATGTTAAGAATAGATCACATAACCAATAAGCGTTACTCCTTCAATGTTCCATTCAAGGTGTTAAGACCCAAACCTGGTATACAGACGGGTCTAAACTTGACCCTGAGGCTGGTATATTTTCCAAAAAACTCACCTTCATTGAATTTTGTAATGTGTAAAAACAAAACGATAGGAGAGGTGGCAACGGCATATCCAATCTCAGACGGCCAGGTGTCCATATCAAGTCAGAAAGTCACATAGAGCTACATCTAAAAACTAAGAACATTGGTCTAGACCAAAATAGAGTGGAAAGCAGGGGCGGTTTCTCCATTGGTTCATTTATGCAGTGAACACCCAGTTAAATTTCATAAGAGCACATTATTTTAAAATCACATATAAATAATTTAATAATATAAATTCACTTTAATAATATTCGCTCCGTGCGAAGTCATGGAAAGGGAAGCAAAAGCGATACTAGCGCTAGCTGCAGATAATTCGTGCATTTTAGGGCGATATTTTGTAATTTTGGCATATCAATTACACGTATACATTTTACTTTTTTTCAAAAAAGTAGGTAAAACAATACAATAAGCAACCGGAGTTGCTGTGTTGAAAATTGTACAAATACTAGCAAAAAAAAAAACAGTGAAACTTATATAAAAAATGTCAGTAGCAAAGTGGAAATTAAATCAAAGAAATAAACGGATAGGTGTACAATAAGAAGAAAAATTACCTTTATTTTTGTAACAATAACAGTAATGCTGGAAATAGTAGACATCAGAACCTTGAAAGGTTTTAAATAAACAATAAATTATCATTTTACGATGTTCTTTAATATCCCTTTATTCTTAAATGTTCATTTAGCGAGGACTAGATTTCAATATTTCTGCCTTTGATTATTATGTGCAGCTGGAATGCAATTTTGTGAGTTACTGATGGGAAACCAGTTTTAATCATTCATTCTATGTTTTCTTTCGAACAAAAATGAAAATATAAATAACGATCCTTTGTTATACATTTTATCTTCACGCTATTATTAAGGGTGCGTTTGATTTGATCATCGGAGGTCTCCGAGCGCTGCAAACGTGTTTGAATTGGCACTCCGAGAGATCCCTAAAGTGTTTGTTTTGCTTTGGAGCGAGAACATAGAGCGAGCTCGATGTACACAGAGCAGAAGGATCGAGAAGAGGTAGAATTTTGTCTTTGTCTCTACCATCTCTTTTTAATTTACCTACAAACAAATTTGAATCTCAAAATTAAAGAACAGACAAGAAGTCAACAAATTACTTAGACGCTTTTGTCTTATATCTAAAATTATTCGTCATAAAAAATGTGTGTTTGGAAAATACATTTTCTATGTCCAAATCTAATCACCAGTAATCACAGTCATGGAGTATGAAAGCGAAGCGGTCATCTGTGGTATATGCTGTATTTCAGGGCCATTACCCCTTATTATTAAAAGTTTTTTTAATTTTCTTTACTTTTTGCTAACTATTTTGACGCACAAACCAGAAACAAGAATCACAAAAAAAGCGAGGTTATGTTTTTTACTCTGTTTTATTTGATTTGATTCAATGCTCTATTGTGACGTCATCAATTCTCGGTCTCCTCGACGCTCGCTCGATCGAGTTTCAAATCAAACGCCCCTTAAATGGTATTTTTTTATTTTGACAGAATAGGCTAATTCTTCAATGACAACTTATTAGACTTAGGCAACTTCTTATACATTTCCCAGTAAATACTGTTGCCTGCCTATATTTTATTATTGATTTTTATTGATTATAGATAATTTTCTTTAATTTAAGCTGTAAAAATATATAATAATAATAATTTTATGTTTTACTTGTTTTATAAATCCGTATACTTTTATTAAAACTAACATATATACTTTTTATTTACGAATTCTATTAAAAATTGTATTTGTCAGTATACACAGAAATAGTCCATTAGTGCCAAAAAGAATTGGCGCTGCTGTCACGCACGGAGCGAATATTTATTATTTTCGTACGTATTAATCTCTACTTTTTTTTGGTACCCCACTGCGCTCAGGCCGATCGCGTCTGTCGGTTCAATATGTCTAGTGAACGCGAGAGGTGTCTGAGAATGAATGTTAAAAAGACAGGCTAATAGATCCGTGAAACAGTACTGTGCCTGCTTGAAACCACGCTATATTATTAGCATCATTTTGTGCATCGCACGTAGATTACATCACGACAGTTAACTTCGCTTGGTCCAACGATTAGTTATTGTGCTTGATCAAGGTCACTCTGACTGGGAGTCTTTAATTCAACGTTGCCACATTTGGCTATTTTGGCTAGTTTTTGTAGACAATTTTCTTTTGGTACATTTCAGTAGATTTCTATAAATTAATTAAAAAAAATCCAATTACTTAAATAAAACTTCCTATTTAAATAATTTTGTTGCCAAAATGGATTGCTAAAAACGTTAGGGCCGGGCGGCGATTTTACGTGTTCAGTTCAAACCGACGCGGTCTTAAAATAAACACAGGAAAGTAATGCAATATTTATAGGCAAACTCGTGTTGATATCGAGGCGCCAGACAATGAACCACGCACGGATTTGTTTGGAAGCAAGCCGTATTTGCTCACATTCAAATCCGTGTTGATCTTAAGGACGAAATCGAAAAATCCACGTCCAACCTACAGCAATCGCTCGTAGAAAAAACATTAGAACTTACCTTCGCCTACATAATGAAAATAATTTTGATTTGTTTGTGAAAATAATTATTTAAATATAGGTATGTTAGCAACAAATAAATAAATAACTAGTACCTCATATTCTTTGTTCTGTGCCTAGGTAGAAAACCCCCAAAAATTGCATAAAACATTTTAAAAGCAATACAAAATTTTTCGTTTTTGACTTTCTGTAATTTGAACGTGAATCGCCACATTTTGAGTTAGAGATGGCTGTGACGTTCATTGATTTCAATAGGTATTGTCAAGAATGCTCCATAATAAAACAAATAAAAAATAATCTGCACCAGTCACAAAAAGCATCGCATAATCCTTAGATAAAAGAAACAACAGATGATGCATTTCATTCATAAAGTATGTTTTGTTTGGTCCCAATAATCGGAAAAGAGAAAGAAGATATTTTATGCGGATCGAAAGAAGACAGACTGTAATCGAAAATCTCGTCTGGCAACGCTGCTGTTGTACGCAACAGATATGGTATGCAATAAACTTTATAATGGTTTAAACTTTAAAACCGATTGGATTTGGTATAAGGGTATGAAGTTCAGTGGAATGTAGGTAAAAAGCTTAAAAACACTATTTTTTCCAATAATACATTTATTACAAATAAAGATGTTAAATTATATAAAATAAAAACAAGATAAATAAATCAAGATTTATTTTAAACAAATTTACGAATTCAATTTTGGGGTTAAAATTTGAACAGTTTTACAAATTGGTAAATGAGAGATTTTTAAATCAAAATTTAGATTTTTAACACTACTAAATTTATAAACGTTATTAAATCAATAAATTTACCATACTTATAAACAAGGTGGGGGTTTTAAATGGAACGCTTCTTATAGCGGATCTGGTAATAAGAATTTTGTAAAATCCGAAAACACAAAAATAAACCTATCCATTGATAGTTTTTAACTTGTAAAACTAGGCAGTAAACTAACTTACTTATTATCATCCATAAATGTGTGCGGCATAGATAAATTATCTTCTGGTTTCTTACTAGAGCTGTCAAAAATACTGATACTGGAATCAGAGCTGTAACAGAGTATTCAGAACTTTTAATGTAAAGGTAAGTATACATTTTGATTAATAATAAGGTAGTTCATGAAAATAATCATAGAAAGAGGCATGTACTATGAGTTTATAAAAAAGTTTGTCCTTGTTAAGCTCATACAAAATTTAAAGAAATTACAATATAAAAATTTCTTTGTAAAATAAACTACCAACTTTCATCTTAAAGGATAAACACTTAAATGAACATTTTCGAAACATAATTAAGAAAGTTTTTAGTTACCTAAATGAGCTTTCTCGAAACAATGAACTTAGTTTTGGCAGTGCTCCACGCTTGAGATATTTGCTTTTTGAAGAATATCATTAGGATCAAAATGCTCCGAGCATAACACTCTTTTTTAGATACCTTCATTTTCTTCAAGTCCTACAAGTGATAGCCAAATATTTCTTGTATGCCTTTCAGTTGTGAATCTAAAAATCGAGCATAAGCATATTTATTTTACCACTATAGTCCAGACTAAAGTGTTTCTATTAATTACAATTTTTTGTGAAATTAATAATGTTGAAAGATCAGAGAAATAATAGTAATATAAAAGTATAAAAATCTTTAAATCTACACCACTGAACTATGCAATACATCATCACCTAACCTTACTTATGAAAAGATACTTCAGCACCCACATTTTCCAGTTTTTTGCTTAAGATGCACTCGCGGACCATGTTGTTAGCTATACACAAGCCGAAATTTTTCCAAAAAAGTCTAAAGATTAACAAAAACATCCAATATGCAACAATTTACTGGATCGCAACGTCGCAAACTATCGATGGATAAAATACTATATGTGACGTCCGTGACGTATAGTATGAATGAAAGAAAGTTATTTTAAATTGCGGTGGTGTCACGTTTAACGCTTTTAAAATCCTTGCATTTATTTGC